AAGCCCAGATCGTAATCGTGATTAAAATTCGATTAATTGAGCAGCCCTATTTGGAAATATAAATCTAAAATTAACGCATTATTAACACAATAATGGGGTGGCTTTGGGACAAGTTTCTGATTTTATTTAGCTGCATTTATCTCTGTCAGATCTGAGCATTCTGGTTGTCATTGCTGCTGAGAAGCAGGCCCTTAGCATCATGCTGCCACCACCCTGCTTCATGTGCTCAGTCATGTGTTTTGTCTGAGCATGGCTTCCTTCTTCTCACTCTACCATAAAGGCATAAGTGAAGGTGTGTTGGCAGGGAAGGTCATCCTCCCATCTCTGCTGGGGAGCTTGTGAATTCCTGTTAAGCTATGAGACACAGATTGTAGCTCTGAACTATTCCACACATCACCTGACAGAAGTGCATGTGAGAATAGAAATGTTTCACTGAGTTGATCAAACATTGGTCATCAGTATTTAACCTATGAGCTCCCAAGTCTATCTAATGTCTGATCACACTGATTTGTGACCCCATCTCCCTGACCACTCCCATAGTTGGCTGGTTACTCAGTGTGTGGGAAAAACCGTCTTGGAGGCTTTAAACTCCCTTTTTTGACATTGTACTCCTGGGATGACTTTTCTTTTCTTTTCTTTTTCTTTTTTTTTAAGATTCTGTCCTGATTAGATGCACATGTTACAAACATTTCTAAGAATGTGTTTCATGAATGTGTATTTGTGAAAAACACACCAGATTTATCCATTTAAAATGAAAACGAAGAAACTTGTAGAGTAAAAGAGAAAAGGAAAAAGCAGTGTAGGGGTCTTTGTGAAGCACTGTAGATGAAACTCTGTTATATAAGAAATGTGTTACAGTATGACCAAAAGATCAGTAAAGATGTGTGTCTCACATAAATTAAGTCTTTGATATTGTAAACCGATTACAGACATGTAAAAATATTTGGACTTGTGGAAACGATTTCAACATTCAGAGTAATCCAAGTGTAGAAATTGCTAAAGGGGATATAGCACAGGGTAAATGTGTGGGGTGCAGTACAACAGGCCTTTTTGTAAGACTGAGAGAATGCGCTGTCGCCCCTCTGTTGGCCTCTCAGCTGGACTGGCTGCCAAAACGCAACTCTAAAGAGGGGAAAAAAGCTTTAGGAGGATGCAGCCTGTTGAAACTGAAACTGGTTGTGCTTTTGGATTGTTACAGTTTTTTCTTCTAACATCTTGCTTAACTTAAATTTTGAAATCTGACCATATAATGAATATTACTTACAACACATGTTTGTTTAATGCTAATTTGTTTTAATTGAACAAAACGTGTTGATAAAAATAAAGAACAAATCATTAAAGATAAATATTTAAAATCTCAAACTGCAGTTAAAGAGCCTTTAACTAAGCCACAGTAGACTTATCTCTCAGCTATGTTTGAGTCTAATTTTAATTTTGATTTGCACGCGACCGTGTTCATCTGTGATTGTTTTCTGATTTCTGTTGACCTCTTTGTGTCTTTGCATTTCATCACCAGGTGGCAGAGTTTCCTATGAAGCGCTGTGTAGAAGCTGGACTTTGGACAAGCACAGGGAGGTGGACAAAGGACGACACTACAGAAACGGAAGACATGCGCATGATGGAGACGTCTTAGAGGATTCAGCCCCGCCCCCTGCTTTTCTAATATCACCATCATAACCTCTCCGTTTAGGAACGATCCGAGTTGTTTATACAGCAGACCAGGCTAAAAAAAACACCATCATAGTGCAGGAATAAACAGACATTCAGTCTTTTATGCCACAGTTTTCAGTAGAAAGCCTGCAGAAAGTACGTTTGTGCCAATGGCAAACGTTTCTCTGTGTGGCTGTTAGCATGTCGGCGTGGTTGGCCTCTGGCAAGCGGGTTTGTTGCAGTGTCTTTTGCCAGCTTAAATGCATGTTGTGCCATAACTGTTGTTTTTACAGTTGGAGGTATTGCATTCTTCAAGCTAGGTGTGTATCTTTCTCAGAAGAGAGAAATATCCTCACTAAAAAGCAGAACAGAATTCATCCAGACAACACAATGAATACTTAACCAGTAAAGTCTCTGGATAAAAATCACTTTGGTAGCAAATCCACTGCTTAAAGTATGACAGAGGTCAGGGGTCACAAAGAGCACTCTTTAAAAAATCATGTCAAGTCTGAGGAGAGTAACTGATGAAAGTTAGTGTCCTTGCACCCTCTGAAGTACAAGAAGATTCAGTTGGAGCCAAACAGTATTGCAAATCTTGTAACTGCAATGCTGCTGCTCTGGTAAACAGTAACTACTGCAAACAAACAAAAAAAGGTGGGGAGTGCTTTGCGGGTGTGACCTGAATTGTTTGATTTTAATCATGAAGAGGAAAACAAACCTACCTGTGATTAGGAACAAAGCATGTTTGAAATGGAGGGAGAGTTTCTGAGTTATCAATAGAGTGTCATAGGGCTTCAGTTTGTGAGATATGCAGCTTTATTTTACATTTTTAACATTTTCAATGCATAACATACAACCAGAGCTACTGACTTTACGCTAGTGTGCAAAGAGCAGTTACAGTGAATATGAATAATTTCTAAATCTGTAGTGTGATGTAACGTTTTGGTATACCAGCACTCAACATATTCAAAGTCTAAGCCAAGTTAAAGCTCTGAAAGTTCCTATTTTTTTTAGTCAGTTTCTTCTTGTAGGACCCTTTCAGATTGATCTTCATATAAAGAGACTGCACATGAATTTCAGTTCTGTAAGGCTGATTATGGGAGAGGATGAACAATGCAGTATGTGTGGGTGGCAGGGTAGTTGTCTGACTCAGTCCAAATCAGCAGTCAGAATGGATGATTCAGGATGATGGCTTAAGGTGTAATTGTCTTCATTTCTATCATACAGTTGCTCTTTTGTTGCCTGATTGCTTCTTTTTGAGCCAGAAAGGCCATCATGAGTGGTCTGTCTCGTTGCTTTAAATAGGCCAAGAGGATGTGTTAAGCTCATTTCCAGCTCTGTTTGAACTGTTAAACTGGGCCTTGATGCAGCCCGTTAATTTCGTCGCCTTTGTGAAGCAGGAGGTTTCGGCTCTGCTCCTTACAAAGGCCGTTATTGGCTGCTCCTAATTTGAATAGTAGATGGGTGGGGCCTCTGTGTTCACAACTAGAGCCTTATGCCTAAACCTTGTTAAGGGGAAAAAAATGCTTTTATTGATATCAAACAGAGACAAGAGTGGGGGAAAACTTGCTAATGTGAGTATTCAGAGTAGTTGAGCCTCTTTTGGGTATGGTTAATATGCTCATCCAAATTTCTAACATCATGTACAACCGAAAATCATGAAAAACATCATGGGTTCAGGTGATCTGACAACACTCCGATTACACTATACCTGTGGACATCATTGTGGCCTTAAATCTTTTCCTTTGAACACTGTGTGGTGCGACAGGTTCGGAGGACTAAAGCACATTATAGCTTCGGAACAGTATATGTGATGGGAGAAAGAGGAGGGTTTAATTGTTCTGTTTTCCTAGAAGTATTCCTTAGTGTTGTCTGGAGAAGCTTAAACACAGCACAGTTTGTAAAAATAAAAAAGGAAGCCTTTCGTCCGTTAAGAGACATCCATGCTAGTCAGGTGTTATGTGGATAAATTAACTGCAGATAAGTGATTAAAAATCTGTCAAATACAACATAATGCCTACGCTGAGCCGTAATACAAGCTCACCAGATGTTAAATTACAACTGACTATATACTGTGTATTCACAAAAAAGTATTTGTTGTGCACTTAACAGCTTTGGGACTTCCTGTGACAAAAATAAGAGTCTCAGGACGACAGGTGGTGATTAATTTAAGTTGAATTTTGAGTAAAATAGCATGCTTTATAGTATGTGAGTCAGTATAATAATTCTGTGATAATAAAGCACTCAGCTTTTGATGCAAATAATATGATAATATTACAATGCTGTCTTTTTTAGAAAGGCATAATCAGCCCAGTTTTGGTGTTGAGTGTAATTGTCAATTAACCACAACCAGTTATTGTGCAGATCGTGACGTGAGACGTAAAGAGGACACTACATTACTCAGTAACTAATCGTCAGCTGAGTTTCGCTCCTTTGTCTTGCTCTCATGTAATCAGAGACTGAATTTCAACCCAAACACTTCAAATCCTACCAAAATCTTTCTACATCTGTTTTGTGCATTTTATTTGTGTCTGCTTCGGTGATGCGCCAGAGAATAACTATGCTTTCTTCACCAGCCTGGCATCTGTACTCGTTTCCTGAAACCAAGTTGCAACCAACTGTTTCCTTTCATAAGTGCTTTGTACAGACTTTTGTCTGTGCTGAGTTGGTTGAAGTTCTTCGCTCTGGGATGATCGACACCAGAGCTGAAGGAAAGATGCCTGTATTGAGGATGTGCGAAAAAGGGCTGAGCTCTCAAAAAAAAGAGACTTTTCACTGTATGTGTGTTTGCAGAAAGGAGCTCTCTGCATCTGAATGTGTCCTGCACTTTATGTTTCTTTTGTAAAACGGACGAATACAAAGGGGTGGGGTGTTGAAAGCTTTTGCTTTGTAATTTTGTCTCATCCTGCGTTCTAAATGTATATCACCTTTCTGTTCTTGGTCAGCAAGAAACGGATTAGAAATTATGAATGCGTTTTTATGAATTGCGTGACATTTTGTTTTTGCTTTTGTATTCGTTTTTTTTGTTTGTTTAAGTTTCAACTTTCTTTCACAATGCTTTTCATTATTTAACAAAACATAAACATTGTAGACATTTGCTCAGTAAGACATTTGCTGCAGTGTGTGGATGTAGAAATATCAAGTGTATTAAATACAGTTCAGACTTAGAGCTGCTTCATGATGCATTGATGATTCTGCTTCACAGCTATCGTTGTCATTTATTAATGATCGCTTCCACCCCCACCCTAAAAAGTAGTCTTTTTTTAAGTATATTAAGTAACATACACACACTCAGTGCTGTTAATAAATATATATGTTCTCAGCAGTGAGGTTAGATGTGGACATAAGTAGTCTTTGTGGAGCAAAATAAAATATTTAACTATGAAAAATAATTGGCTAAGGCTTGCTGAACTCAGCCTGTGGCCACTGGTGTGTCGACTTCCCAGGTTACAGTGAGCTGTGAGTTTAGTCACTAGCTGCCATCACATTTACACTGACTTGTCCTACAGAGGAAAAAAAACAACTTCAAATATATAAACACAGTACTTAATGTCTTTTGGGACCTACAGTCGAAAACAATGGTTAAGTCCTTACAGGGAAGCTCCACTAAGTTTGCACATCATAGTTTGTTGTCAGGTCTTGAGGAGTACTAATACATATGTAAAATCAAATTTTATAAGAGGGAGCTTTGTGAAGTCCAGTAAATATTTAGACAGTCAGTTCTGGAGTTGTGGTTGAAGACAAGGCTATACAAATACAGGCCATTTACCATTTACAAGGACGACGGAAAGAAAGAGGAGGTTTGAGTGGAAAGACGTGTGCTTGCCAGACGTCTGTGCCTTGCTCGTCTTGCTGCAGGCGAGAAGCTCATCATAATACTGACTGCTGTTAGCATAGCACAGCCAAATTTCTTGCCAACCCGACAGACAAGTTGCACAGTGAGTACTGTTGATGCCGGGGTTTGACTTTCCACATTCATTGTTCTTTTTAGTTATTTAGGAGCAAAATCATTGAGAACAATAACTGGTAGGAGGCTTGGCTTGACCTAATTTAAAGGTCTCCTACTGTGCAACATAATGAAGGACTTTTTTTTTTTTTATTTTTTTTTTTTTTTTATACGCAGTCTGCAATTTACAGAGAGGACAGGAAAACTGTAGGACCCCATGTACAAGCCATGATAGCAGACATAAAACTAGTTGACAATTCTGAAAATAAAAGCCTTTGGACAAAGTTGGTCTTCAGAATTTGTCAGAAACATTTTTTTTTTAAAGAGTTGGAGGGAAGGGACAAGTACTAAGATATGAGCTGGTAACAACCTTACATCCTTTTGTTTTATACATACCTTTGAAGCTTTAAAATGAACTTGCAGCTTGGAGAATATTTCTTAAATATTACAAAATGAGACACAAGATAAATGAAGTCACAGGAAGAGGTGGGAAAAGTTTAAATTTATATATTGAATGTCTTCCTATCAACACGAAAACAAGAAAATAGAAAAACTGAGAACCTTACAAGCGATTCAACTAGTCTGCAGAAGTGAACACCTGGCACATCACAGATCAATGACACGATAAAGGCAGACTTGTAGAAGAATGGGAGAAATCATAAAACGCATGAAAGGGAAAACTACCCTTGCCAAAGCATCTCAGTTAGATATAGGCTGCTCCAAAACTGAACACTTAGTGACAGCGTTGCATATCGGAGCTCTGACTACAGTCTGATGCAAGCTTGATTAAAAATCATTTACAAATTCTAGATATTATCCCACTTACACCAGACTAGGCTTAAGTGGAAGTGACAAATAATGTCTTTGAGATGAAAACAGTGGAACTTATAAACTTGTGTTTGCATTGAAATCATTGAGAAAGGAGGGAGAAAAGTGACTAGTCTTGTGTTCTAATCAATGAATTTAGGACTGTTTTTGGAAAAAGTCTGCATACAGTGCTTGATGGCGTGTTTTGTGTTGTCTTATAGTCGTATGTATAAAAAAAACCCAAAATGACCAGGAATCTAGGTAAGACATTTATTATGATTTATAAACATAGTTGTGAGTCACCTATGAAAGGAGATATGCCTTCAAACATTATCTTCAAGTGTTTCGGAATACGCACAGGAAACATTTGCTGCATCGATCTGTACAGTACAGTTCAAGGTAGGTTTGCATTTCTGTGGCTTTTAACAATATCGGAGAAACTTTAAGAAAAGAGTGCAAAAACAAGAGGGAAAAGAAACAACAACACAGCAGATGATACTTAAGTACTGCAACATCTCCCAAACAAGACAGAAGCAGCACAGAAGCCTTGTACAAACTGTATAATTATATATTTTTAGTTGTCACATTCACATTAAATAGCTAATATCAGTCAATGACAACAAGGAATAGCTGGCAGAATTTAAGAGCAATCACTTAAGACTAGCTAAAGAGGCTGTTCCACAATAATGCTTTTTTTCTGATTAATTAAAAAGAGATAACATAAGAAATGTGATCTGGTCATTTAATCTGGTCCACTACGATCAAAATCATTTACATTCATTTAACTACCTCGTTTATTGTCAAAAGCAGCAAAAGGCACTTGAGTGCAAAAGTGAATTTACAGTAATTTGTAGAATGTGGCACATTTCCCTTTGGGGTAGCTGCCTAGTGCATGGAAAACAAACCCAGCAAGGCAGTTCTGGAAAAGCAATGCTAAAGCAAAAACATAAAGAGCCCACCATATTGCTTTTAAGGGATTTCTCATGTTTAACCCCCCCCAAAAAAACAAAAAAATAAAAAACAAAAACAAAACAACAAGTCAGTCTTGTAGTGTGTGCCCATTCTTATTCATCAGAATCAAACAAGAAAGGAAGTAATGATTATAATTAGAAAAGACTTTACACTTTCCTTAAAAACTGGCTGCATTCACCGGCACACGTCAAGCTGTTATACTCTGCAAACGCAGCCTTCACTTACTGTTAATAACCTTAATATTGGAGTCACTCAGTTTTCTGCTTGCTTCGTAAAAAGGCACACTATGGAGTGAAGAGGCAATCTGTGCAAAGTCTAACAACTACTGTTTAAAAGATTTTGCACACAACCTGAGACGTTCAAAAACCAATGTCAACATTGTGGAAACATTACTACACTAAGCTTATGTTTTGTATTAAGTGCCATTTTACTGCCGTGTACTCCTGTACACGTAAGATGAGTGTTATCCCTGTTTTAAAACATTCAGAATATTTTACTCCCTTTGTTTAATGCAAAAGTGGCATTTTGACTGGACAATGCACACAGTGGTTTCTGTCGATAAACTCTTCTCAGGCTTTCTATTCAACTTTTTGATTGATTGAAGACAATTTTCTCTGAAGGAAAACTTCAACGTGTGGCCATATCTTATTGGTTTCTGTCCCAGAGAAGGTCTCTAGCACACCTTTACTCCTGGAGGGTAAAAACAAACAAAACAAATCAGATTTCAATAACAGCATTTGAACTTAGAAATCCATTTACATCTATTAATCAGCTGGCAATGCTCCTAAACTTCAGAACAAGTTATTTTAAACATTAAATCTGCATCTTCTTCTATTCTCAGTCTGTTATTATCTGTACTTCCTGCAAATGACAGACTTTTAGGCAATGTGGTTATAGTGGAAAGTGGGACACTGGATAAAAGCATCTCTGTGGTTTAAGGAAACAGTCATACATTTTCCTGGCCCAGAAACAGAACATAAGATCCATGAATTTTCCTGCCTGTGTTTTAAGCTTTCAAGATAAATATTTATACATCTGTCACCTGATTTAATAAAGAGAAAATGCGATGCAGTGTTGGCTAGGGCTGCTGGAATGTGGTTCTTATGCATTTTCTTCAGTCATGCAAACAGCTTTGAAGAATACGCAGGGATGAAAAGGTCATGGTTCAATATTTTTGACTTTTAGCTGGACCCTTGGTGAGTATTAGAGAGATTTTTGCATATACTGCTGGCACTAAGTTTTAAGGTATCTGCGGTGCTCTACCTGTAGTATTCTAAGACGGGCTCCGTCTGGGTTTCGTAAGACTTCAATCGCCGTGTCACCGTCTCTGGTTTGTCATCGTCCCTCTGGAAAAGAGGCTCCCCTGTGTCATCATCAAAGCCCTGCAGAGATAAAAGAAATCTGTCTTAATGCTGATCTTTTGCACATGTTTACTATGTGCTGCAAAGGAGGGTTTTAGTTACTTCTTTTACATACTGGCTCTTTAATAATGAGATATATTAGGCAATAAATGTTGGAACATAAAAAATATGAGACATGTTGGAACAGAGTAGAAATCATCTTACTAATCCACAACCGTTTGTAGGGTTTGATCAGTGTTGAATGAAACGTGACAGAGACATCAGTGTCAAGGGGCTGCCTTCAGTTCATTTCCCATGTTGCCAAGCACATTTCTGACTTTAAGAATTTGAAAGCTACAAAGATTGCTGCAGGCTGGCTTCTTTACTTTCCAAAACCTCACAGGATTCTTTTTTTTCCCCCTTGCAGTGATCTGGGAGCATTACTAGAAGGTGGCTAGTGTAAACAAGTCTGCATCTGTGCTGAAAGCACTGCGAGGCTTTGAGCTACAGCGGCTTCTACTAAAAACACAGATTTACAAAAAAGTGAACCACAAGCTATTAGTCAGGAATGATAATAATAGTGTGAAAGGCAGACGCTGTGTCTCAGCTCTACCCAGTGAACTTGACCAGCGCCCCAAATCTACCCATTTGACGTGCTCAGATATGCAACCTGTCCGTTTCTGTGGGGCTTACAAAGGTTACGTTTCTCTCACACTCCTTTCTTGCAACTCTCAAGGCTTTTTATAATCTCCTGCCTTAGGTTAATGTTTAGTTACCCTTCATCTTCTACCCGTGAACTAAAAAGGAAACAAAAACAACCCTTCACATATATAAAATATCCTCAACTGAACTAAAACTATTCATCTCACATTTCTCTGGAACTGATAGGTTGCCATTTATCTGGATAAATGTTGCTTATTTGTTAAGAAGTAGTTGATGTTCTATTAGTAACTTGAATTTCATTCTCATTTCAGACAGACATTTGTTGCTAATGAACCTGTACAATTTGACCTTCAACATGATTTTTTTGATTAAAGTGTATTAATGCAATTAGTTTTTATTTTAACAGCACACTTTTTTTTTTTGATCGGTTACACTTCCA